GTGTGTATGAAAGCTCTTGTAGTGAATTTTAATTTAGGATTATACGTGAAATTAAAATATCAATTCACAGAGGGCGCTACCTTACAATTATTTACTAATGACAAAATTTTACATATACTTAAGACGCTTAGGATAATTGTATTTTAATTTTGGAAGGTTTCACTTCTACCACGTGTGAATTGCACACATTTTGTTTTTTATTTTACAATTGCTAATGCTATAACGGTTGTCACAGCCAGTGGATATAGACGACTGCAATACCTAATATCCACCACTTATGTTTATAAGAAGTCTCATTTGACAATAACATACATTTTTTTAGGTTGTTGGAGCTTAGGTTGTTTTGCATACAAAAATAGCAAGTTATCGGTGCTTATTATTTTCTTTCTAGGTACCAGAATATTGTGTACAGCTCACAGAAACTGAAGTATTGAACCAGGCCTTCAACTTGCTATTTGCGTTCGACGAGATTGTCGCTCTTGGGTACAGAGAAAGCGTCAATCTAGCGCAGGTATGTATATAAGACAGATGAATTTGATATTGTTACGCCGGTAAGAGTAACGCCATCTATCATCGAATAGAAGAAACGAATATCAAAAGAACTAGTAACATCGAGAACGCTCGAGAAGTGTAACGCCATCTATTTTCAAATAGCGGTAAAACATATCGAAACGACTCGTCCTATCGGGAATGCTCTCGATAATTGTAGATTTGTCGTGTCGACTATAAAAGCGTTGCAGAGATGACATGAAGGCAGCTTAGTAAACGGTTCTACTCCTAGCGAAGCGGAAGAAGTGAATTGCGAATTGTAAAGTGTTCCTTGAGTGTTCTAAGAGTTAAATAGACTTTTAATTTGTACTTCGGTGAAAATTTTATTTATCCCGAGCCCTAGAGCGTAACAATATGCAAGATATATTCAATTCAGCTCTTAAGCAGTAATGCGTTTCGGCTCGATGGTTGAAATAGCCGCTATACGATTGAGATGTAGACCTCATGTCTGGAGATGGGCGCCAAAATTCACATTATGATATACACGGCATCTGGTAATCACTTATGAAAAGGTTGGCCGTGAGATCGTTTACCGATTTTCTAGATTGCCCTTAATATTCTTGAATTGAAATTTTGCAAACTTGTTTTGTTTAAGGTCCGTTCGTTTGTTGAAATGGACTCTCACGAGGAAAAGATTTATCAAGCCGTAAGGCAGGTACGTGTATGAATTTAATAATGTTTTTAATTTTCTTTCTATTGTGATATTCGTCTATAGACAAATTATTCAGCTCACTGTTATTTAATCGGAGTTTCCTGTAAATCAATGTTCCATAGATACGTGCGTGGGTCGCGTGAGTTTAGCAAAAACTGGCCTTGGGTGGCCATGTTTAAAAAAAATTCATTGTAATAATTACCTACATGTTTATATATTTTGTTATTTATATCAAATTAATACAACTGATTAATAAGAAAAGGATTCTCTTAAAATATTTAGGTATCAAGCAAATCCAGCATTTCTTCCTATAAGTTCCTAGATTTTTCTGTGCTATTTGAACCACAGACTGATATATTATGTTGATATATACGCATATTAAACCCCCTAGAAAAATAACGAGCAAGCTTGTTTATTACACAAATGTTTGTCCGATGTGGGATTTGAACTCACGAGCCTTGTCCCCGTAGTCGGGAGTGCTGCATATCAGAGTCATTCAACTTGTACTGTATGATGTGAAAGTACTGAAACTCAAGTCTCAAGTCTCAAACTCAACTCAACAAAGTCTATAACGTCACGAAAATGAGATTCGTCTGAACCCTAGTTTTCTCAATCTTTCTCTACGGGACAGAGTCCTGGACAATTAAGACAATTAGTGAAACTCATTCGAATATCGTATGTAATCTGTACATAGATAAACAAAGATAAAATTCTGTTTAGTGGCTAATGACGTTAGGTACGGTTTTTTTTTAAAGTTTATAACATAACAACGCAGATAATATAACACAAAACATAGACTCATTGTGTAAATTTTGAAGCGTCATAGATTATAATCGAATTTCGATAGTTTGACGGGAGTACCTAGGCAGACGAGCTAACGGCCCACCTGATGGTAATGGGTTACCGTCGCTCATGAACGTCATCAATGCCAGGGGCACAGCCAAGTCGCTGCCTACCATTACTCATACCAGTGTTCCGATATAGCATCATCTGTCTCCATAAAAAAAACCTCCCACAATTATACGTACTTACTGGTGGTAGAACCTCTTGTGAGTCCGCACGGGTAGGTACCACCGCCCTGCCTATTTCTGCCGTGAAGCAGTAATGCGTTTCGGTTTGAAGGGCGGGGCAGCCGTTGTAACTATACTGAGAGCTTAGAACTTATATCTCTATAGGTGGCGTATTTACGTTGTAGATGTGTATATGCTCCAGTAACCACTTAACACTAGGTGGGCTGTGAGCTCCTCCACCCATCTAAGCCATAAATAAATAAATACGTACAAACACTTTAGACCCAAGAACGCGAGGCGGCGAACCGCATGCGCGAACGCGCTAAGGAATTGCAGCGCGAGAGATTGGAGGCGGCCAAACGTGGCCAGCCGCCGCGCTCACAGATGTCCTTCGGTAAGAACAGTGTGCTTGGTGCGAGTTTTTTAACGTCCTCGATAGCGTAAAAGTTAACTCAAGTTTGTATGCAATTGGAACAGCGCCCCTAGCGGCAAACGTTCCATAGACAGAACAGGCAGGGTGGTGTTACCTACCCGTGCGGGCTCAAAAGACGCCTTACCACCAATACCACAGATTGTCAAATTTGCTCATTTCTAAAACGAATTGAAAATATAATATGCAATTGGAACAGCGCCCCTAGCGGCAAACGTTCCATAGACAGAATAGGCAGAGTAGTGTTACCTACCTGTGTGGGCTCAAAAGACGCTCTACCATCTTTGAGATGAAACCACAGATTGTCAAATTTGCTCATTTTCAAACGAATTGAAAATCTAATTTATCTTTAAAGTTTCAAGTAAACACATTTTGTTTAGAAAACAGTCGATATACTCATAGACTGCTCACGAAATTGACTCTAGGAAGGGTTGTTATCATTAAAAACTCGTTTGGTTGTCTCGGTACTGGCAACATTGTTCGCTTGCCAAAAAATACGAAACTTTAAAGATAATGCAACTGTTACGTACTACAATTTTTTTTTCTCTTAGGCAGCGGCTTTGGTAGCTCGACGATGTCCTCGTCGTCTCCATCTGAATCTATTGCCGAGAAGATTCCAACGACACCGGCCAGAGATACGTGAGTTAAATTATTTTTCAATATTAGTGTCAATCACAGTGTTGTAACCGACAGACAATATATTTTTTTAAGGGATTTTATGACCTGGTAACTGAGACCTTTAAGTCATGTCTTATTTTAATTTATATTCATATTTTTATGAAAAATTATATTATGGAGTGAAATGAAATGAAGATGATTAATTTGAGACATTAATCAATTCGCATGAAATTAATGAAATGAAATGAGATGAGATAATATGGGATGAAATATTATAATATCATTATTTGGTGGCTTATAATGGTGATTATTTAGTGAGACTTTTTCAGTCGACTTTTTGAAGGACCCTGAGAAGCTACGTCCAGCGGCTTCGTTATATTTTCCCACATTTGTACACTTTTCGCAGATACTAAACAGTTAACAAATTACCGTTATTAGTGTTATTACACATTTAAACCTGAAGTAACATTAAATAGACAAATTAAAACAATTAACACAACTTCGCTCCTCGCGTTCCCGCCAAAAAGTCATACATCTATACTTAATATTATAAAGCTGAAGAGTTTGTTTGTTTGAATGCGCTAATTTCAGGAATTACTGGTCCGATTTGAAAAAATCTTTCAGTGTTAGATAACCCACTTGAGGAAGGCCATAGGCTATAATAACATAACGATAAGACCAATACAAGTGGATCACCAATAAAGTATGTTTCAAAATAGGGGTTTAAATAACTCGTTAACAATCTATAATTCAAAAATATATTCACTTTCTACGTAAATGAAGTGGGGGTAAAATTTAGCGTTATGCCAAAGTAACTATTTCACGCGGACGGAGTCGCAGGTAAAAGCTTTTTTTTTATTGCTTAGTTGGGTGGACGAGCTCACAGCCCACCTAGTGTTAAATGGTTACTTGAGCCCATAGACATCTACAACGTAAATGCGTCACCCACTTTGAGACTTAAGTTCTAAGGTCTCAGGTATAGTTACAACGGCTGCCCCACCCTTCAAACCGAAACGCATTACTGCTTCACGGCAGAAATAAGCAGGGTGGTTGCACCTACCCGCGCGGACTCTCAAGAGGACCTACAACCAGTAATTACGCAAATTATTATTTTGCGGGTTTGATTTTAAATTACACGATGTTATTCCTTCACCATGGAAATCAATCGTGAACATTTATTGAGTACATATTTCATTAGAAAAATTGGTACCCGCATGTGATTCGAACACCGGTGGATCGCTCAACACGAATGCACCGGACGTCCTATCCTTTAGGTCACGACGACTTCAAAAGCTAGTATACATATATACGCATTAAAATTTTGTTTGAGCTTGAGGTTGACAATTTTTTTTTTTGTTTCTTCTAGTCGTACAGTGGGTCGTTCTGCCATGAAGCTCGGAAGCCGCGGCACGGACGCGGACTCGTTCGTGTCCCGACTCCGCAGCGAGGGTGACGTCACCGCGCCCGTAGCGTCGCCGGCGCAACACGACGCCGGCAAACCCGTGCCCGCCGATCACAAGGAGTGAGTACTGTTCGCAAAACGATATTTTTTTAAATTTTGTTTTTATTCATACTTTGATTTCTACGCTAAATGACCACGTCATAAACGTGTACATATTTTTTAAAATGGATAGTCACTATTTTTGTTAATTATTTATTTATTTCATTTTATTTTATTTTATTTTATCTTGAAACCCGAGAAGAGAAGATGCAGTAGTAGGTATACAGACAGGTGCTGCCTTCATAATAGCATTGCTTTGAGATTCTAGCACTGAATGAATAGACACATTATGTTTTTGAATTTGAACCCGATACAGAGCATTTACATTCGGCATTCATTGTAATATTTTCAAAATGAACTCAAAAAATCGAACAAAGAAAGCATAAAGTTAATGTTTTTCTTATTTTAAAATATTCGTCCCTGTATAGGGGTAATGAAAAAAACAACTTTCCAATATCTTCACGTCTTGTACCGCAATGATTGGTTGATTATTTCAGTGTTCACTTGCGCTTCGAGGAGCGTTTAAACCTGATCGCCGGCCGCGATGGTGACATACAAACTTTTGAACTATCAGGTATTTATTGTATAATCTACTATAAACTATATTAAGAGAGAGAGAGATTTTTTTCCTACCTTAGCCGATGGTCTTGAGAGACCATATCAGGATCACCGGGCGAGAGAGAGAGATAGTATTCTTTATTGTACACCAAAAAAATAAACAATGCGATACATTGAAAAGTCGTCGTGGCCTGAAGAATAAGTAAAAAAAGTACAATTGGCGGTCTTATCGCTAACAGCAATCTCCTCCAGACAACCATCATCATTTGGAAACGAATTACGCGCGGTGTACCAAATTAGTGAAATATATATGTAAATATATACATACATACACACACATACATACACAAATACCATACATATGTATATTTATATGTATATATTTACACTCAAGTATAGTGTATATGTGTTTTTGTGTGTACGTCTTTTGTTAATTTATATTTCAATGCACTTACCAATATTTACTCTGCACTACCTTTGGTTGAATGGAAGAGAATGCCTTGGGTATTAAGTCCGCCAACCTTGATAAATACATGAAGTGTAATAAATGAATTAATAATGTTACTTAAAAGAAACATTGCGGTTTCTTGTTAAGTTACGCGGAGAAATGAGTCGACTATTATCAAAGCCGGCAATGTGACTTTTGGACAATTATTGGTAAATCAGAAAAAACGAATTTTTGACTTTGTATTCCATTGGCAGTCACAAAACTCTTCTGAACGACATCTTAGATAAATAACAGGTTAAGTATTAACCTTTATTTAATGCAGGTTTTGAACCGTATTCTTTGAAGGAGACGATTATATTCAAATCAATCTGTATTGACATATCAATAACATTTTTTTGTCCAAATGCACAGATTGCCACCTTCGATAATAGACGACCCAAATAAGTCAAAGACACTATTTTACAAACATTTATAATGATCGAAACGCGCACAGATAGTAGGCAGGTGACAGAACGTGGCATAAAACAATAACAAAACGAATAAATAGATGTTAAAGTACTGCATGATAGAAAACATTATTTTGAGGGTAGTATTTCAAACTACGCGACACGACGGCGCGCGTGAGGTCATTGACCCGACACGTGGCAGCAAAAAAAGATATAACTCTATCACTAATGGTTCTAATCGAAATATGAAAAGAGAATTTAACTTTACATAGACACTAGGTGGCAGCACTTTATAATAAGGATTGTAATTGAGTGCTCTTGCTGTGTAATAGAAGAGAATAAATAAGTTTGTACCGTTTCTAATTAAATTGTTTTTAAACCAAAAACCGATAATCCAATTAAGTTCCCGCTTTTAAACTTAATCTGCCCGTGCGACATCCCTCTCCTTGCAAAGTATTCGTGATTAAAAGGGGTAAATAACCGTATTGAAGTACCACTGAGACCTCATGGATCAAAGTTGTCGCACATGAGACGTCTTTGGGCTCCGGTGACCACTTAACAACGGCTGGACCGGGAGCTATCCGTCTCGGTACTTCAAGTGTGCATAGACTAAGGATAGGAAGTGAATAAAAAGCCCCATTTAAAGCAATTTAAGCTTAGGGTAACATATTTAAGAGAGCTTATAAAGCTTTGAGAATGAAATAAAATTGTAATAAACAAATATCGAGTGATTATATTTAAAAAAAAAACTGTATAGTAAAAAAATAGAGTGAGAGATAATCAAAATAGAATTAACATCGACAGACAGTCAACAGGCAGGTATAATTGTACAACAGGCTTATCGTTAAAAGAGATCTCTTCCAGACAACTGTTTATTATCTACAGAAATTCTGTAAAAGACACATTGCGATGTACTTACTATGTCGCCTTTTCGCATTAAAAGTGTACAATTTCCAAAAGTATTCGAAATTGCGTAAACATTTGGTATCACCAGTAACTATACTGAGACCTTAGAACTTACATCTCAGGGTGGGTGGCGCATTTACGTTGTGGATGTCTATGGGCTCCGGTAACCACTTAAGACCAGGTGGGCTGTGAGCTAGTTCACCCTACTAAGCAATAAAAAAATTTTTCTATTAAATACTGTCAAAAGACCGTAATTTAGTTTTAGTTTTTTTTTAGTTTCCCTATGTTTTGACTACATTAACAAAATTAATACATAATTTTATCTTACTTTAAAAGACAGATTACTGGTAAAAATAAAAAATAAATGTTACAAAGATGATTAATATTTAAAATATTACATGTTAAACCTTTAAAACACTATCCTGTAAAATTAGTAAGTTTTGAGTTTATACAGTTTTAATGCGAGAAGACGAAGACGATATGTATTAACTAGAAATATTCAAAATATTCTTTTTTGTTTGTTTACCGTACATCGGTTGCCAAATAGTAATGTTTGTTCGACAGGTTTGCTGACGCTACGCATTAGCAACGAGCAGTTCGGTCGCATCCACGTGCACGTCGACAACAAAGACTCGAGACCATTACAGTTGCAGGTAGGCTATGTTTTAGCGATACGGCTGATGTGGAAGAAACTATGAATGCGAGAACGAGATAGAACTAAAGAGGAAAACGTATGTTAGAGAGAGCGCGAGCATAAAAGGATTTCTAAAGATTGACGTCACTGCGAAGGTAATGCTTTTTTTTTAGTGGATTTTATGACCTGGTAACTAAGACCTTTAAGTCATGTCTTATTTTAATTTATATTCTCAATTTTATGAAAAATTATAATATGGAGTGAAATTAAATTAAATGAAGATAATTAATTTGAGACATTAAACAACTGAGTTGAAATTAAATGAAATGAGATGATATGGGATGAAATATAATATCAGTAAAATGGTGGTCATTTACTGAGATTTTTTCAGTGGACTTTTTGAAGGATCCCGAGAAGTTACGTCCAGCGGCTTTGTTTCATTTTCCCATATTTGTGCACTTTCACAGATATCAAGCAGTTAATAAACCACTGTTATTATACATTTTAACCTGAAGAAACGCTAAATAGCCAAAATAAATAAATGACAATTGGTCATTCGTGTCCGAGCCGTTGCACAGTACGGATCTCTCTGGAACGTTGTTATGCTTCTCGGGATATATACGCAGCTCACCAAGTTCTCGTGAAGTTTTGTTTCGGAAGCCCAAACATGAGTCATCGTCGAGAAAGTAATAACTGTGACGTCATATAATTAACCGGACCATAATTATAGCAGAATTAAACAATAAAGTACGATTAATCAACCATGATCAACACATAATCAAACACACAACAATTTAAACAACACTAACTAACTCGTGATTATAGAGTGATTGATCAAACCGGGACTTAAACAACACTAACTAACTCGTGATTATAGTGTGATTCATCAAACCGGGACTTAAACAACACTAACTAACCCGTGATTAAAGTATGATTGATCAAACCGGGACTTAAACAACACTAACTCGTGATCAAAGTGTGATTGATCAAACCGGGACTTAAACAACACTAACTAACTCGTGATTAAAGTATGTATAATTGATCAAACCGGGACTTTAACAACACTAACTAACCCGTGATTAAAAGTGTGATTGATAAGTAAAGTAATTATAGCAATGTTGCTAAACTGCGATTAAAGCTCGTTCAATCGTACTTTTATTTATTTATTGATTGCTTAGGAGGGTGGACGAGCTTACAGCCCACCTGGTATGCAGTGGTTACTGGAGCCCATAGACATCAACTACGTAAATGCGCCATCCACCTTGAGATATAAGTTCTAAGGTCTCAAGTATAGTTACAACGGCTGCCCTACACCCTTCAAACCGAAACGCATTACTGCTTCATGGCAGAAATAGGCAGGGTAGTGGTACCTACCCGCGCGTACTCACAAGGGGTCCAACCACCAGTAAAAATCACCAGTGATTAAATCAGCATTAACTAAACGACGATTTATCTCAGACCCATCCGAACGTGGACAAGGAAGCGTTCCGCTCGACCGGCGTGATTGGGCTGAAGCAGGCTCAACGCCCCTTCCCGATGCACAGCGACGTCGGAGTCCTCAAGTGGAGGCTGGCCACTACCAACGATGACAAGCTGGCTCCGCTTTCCGGTGAGACATGTGATACGTGACCGTTTGAAAGCGAACCGTCGATATATCGACTCTCTATTAATGCGTATGAAGTATGGAGCGTCGAAATATCGACGTTTTGCACAGTTTGATTATAGGTAAAATAAAAGCCCGGTATGACGTTTTATTCGTTTGAATTTAGCATTGATTCTTGTATAATTTTTTAAGGTACTTTTTTTCAGAAATTCTTTAGCAATTTCTGCAGAAATTATTATTTATTTATTTATTTATTTCTGCAGTAAAAGGGTTAAAGATATATGGTAACTTTAGAGACACGACCGAGTTCGTTGCCCCCTGAATTCGGTCCGCTCATTTGAGAAGTGTTTGTCGATTTTCACAGCGAACTTTTGTTTGGTCTGAAATAAAGAAAATCCTTTGTCTGTTTGTTCGCGTAGACACAACCCACTGAGTTTCTCGCCCGGAACTTCTCAGTGCGTCGCTATTCTGATCTGGTGGTAGATTCAACGAAGCTCTTGCTAGGGCCAATGTTAGAAAACTCACCTTCCAGCTAAAGTGTATCTGGAATAGCCCCTTAGGTTACCAGGGAATTGGTCGGGAAAAATAAACTATTATTTACAGACATGTTTTCTTCTAGTAAACTGCTGGCCGTCCGAAGGCGTCAACGGAGGATGTGACGTCAATATCGAATACGAGCTGGAGCAGGATCACTTGGTGTTGACAGATGTCAATATTACCATACCGCTTCCGTGAGTGCTTTGACAACCATTGCGCGTTCGTAGCATCATTAGGGCCGCCAAGGTTATGCACCTACTTACTCATATTTATTTATTTATTTATCAGTCAACCAGTCAACCAAAAGTAGTGCAGAGTAAATAGTGGTAGGTGCAATGAAATTTTTATTAAGTTAAAAATACATACAGAAAAATGTATATACATAAATACATATATAGACAATGACATATACATATACATACATACACACAGATATATAATATATAGATATAGTAGTAGTGTTAACTATGAATATTTTGGGAGGCTTAAACGACAAAGGGAAGATCTTCCACCGAGCGGGTGACATTGCTCGGTAGACCGACGGTCCGAAAGTTGTTGTTCGGAACTTGTATGTATGTGAGCTTATCTGGAAAATGTCGTAAGCGAGATTCAGGCATCTGTAAAATATTTTTTTTAAGGGATTTTATGACCTGGTAACTGAGACCTTTAAGTCATGTCTTATTTTAATTTATATTCATATTTTTGTGAAAAATGATATTATGGAGGGAAATGAAATGAAGATGGTTAATTTGAGACATTAATCAACTGAGATGAAATTAAATGAGATGATATGGGATGTAATATAATCTCAGTAAAATGGTGGTCATTTACTAAGATTTTTTAAGTGGACTTTTTGGAGGATCCGGAGAAGTTACGTCCAGCGGCTTTGTTTCATTTTCCTACATTTGTGCACGTTCACAGATATTAAACATTTAGTAAACCACCATTATTACACATTTAAACCTGAAGAAATACTAAGTAGACAGAATAAAACAAATCTCACAACTTCACTTCTCGCGTTCTCACCAAAAAGTCCTTTGTCAAATATATTGCGTTGTATGATGGTTACCCACCACAAATATGAACTCATATTAGTAGTGTTAACTACGAATCAGATTGTGGGTATTTTGAAAAAAAAAACTCATGTTTCTCTTTTACGCTGCTAATTATGTTGAAATCAGTTTTGCAATCAAAATTCCTTAACTCGCTATTTTGGATTTAACTGTTTTAATTTAAAAGGTCGCATTATTTCAGTTCTGGCAACACTTCGGTGGTGGTGCACCAGTGGGAGGGTAGCTACACGCAGAAGGGACGCAACCTCATCTGGAGCATTCCGCTCGTGAGCAAACAACAGAAAACCGGGAGCCTTGAGTTCACGTGAGTTTTCATTGACTACCCTTCCTAAGGAACGTGGATCTCCATGATGACCTGGAGCTTGACTCAGTAAGTATTTACAGTCGGCATCATTGTAAGACTTTGAGAAGGCGGCACGACATGAAAACCCTCTTGTCGTGGCTTTTTTCTTAAGTGGTTATTGGAGCCCATGAACATCTACGACGTACATGTGCCACCCACCTTGAGATATAAGTTCTAAGGTCTCAGTATAGTTACAACGGACCCCCCGCCCTTCAAACCGAAACGCATTACTGCTTCACGGCAGAAATAGACAGGGAGGTGGTACCTACCGTACCGTGCGGACTCACAAGACGTCTTACCACCAGTAATATACGTTAATCCGTGATCCACACCGAGCTGTAGACCAACCATTTGATTTTTATTCAACATTAAATCCCTCTTTTTTTTTATTGTTGATTGTTTTTTGTAAGTTTTTATATGCAGTTTTTGTTTTCTTTGTCTTAGTTTTATTAATATTAGTTATCGATATTTTTATCTTAAGCACAACCGCTCTGTAAAGCAAGATGTGTTCACATACAAAAGGGTGAATTCTATAATGTTTTTTTTTTTTTTTCTAAATGAGTTCAATGTGTATGTATGCAGGTTTTATCCAGTTGTGTGAAGTTAATATGTAAAAAAAACATTGAGATCGGAGAGATGATTCCATCGAACTTTTTATATTCACAGCGTCACTCCGTCTATACCCAACGACTTCTTCCCGCTCTCCGTGACGTGGACTTCGGAAACGTCACTTGCGTTATTGACAGCTGTCAAAGTGACGCAAGCGGAAGACGGGTCGCCCGTTGACTTCTCTCAAGAGATCAGTTTCCACGCCGACAAATACGAGTTTGTTTAAACAAATTATTAGTTGTTTTATTTTCTTCTTCGTATAATGGGAAACATTATGTGAATTTATTTTTAATGATTAAAAAAACCCTGTATTATTTGTGTATCGGTAATAAATATATATTGTAAATTAAGATAATGTTTGATTTTACGAATGTGTTTGTTGAAGTGCATCGTTTTGAAATTTTAAAGTTGCTGGCAATCAATAAAATCATAATAAAATAATATTGTAGATTGAGCGTGTAAAGACACGTAAATAAACCCGGAGTAATGGAAATTCAACTCTGTGCTGTTGGTGTTTAAAGTTCATTTTAATACTGTGTCAGTGATACTATACACATTGCATAAGATGCTATGCTCATCTACTATCAAGTAGAATGCGTTCTCGAAACATCTTACCAACATTACCGTGAGGGTAGATTGGAAATTATAAAAGCCTATAATAACTACACGATATATAGTCAGAGATGTAAAGTAACATTGTAGAATTTATTAAATAAATAAATAAAAAAAAAAACAACTGAATTTGTAGTTTTTCTTTTATTGCTGAAACGAATGAATGAGCACGCGGTAAGCCCGATGTTAAGTGAGTACTGGGGCCCATAGGCGTCAACAACGTAAATGCCGCCTCGACCTTGTCAATTTGACCGATGCATTTGTGAAATATTTATGCATTACAAGATGACAAGACACCACAGCAATTCTATACTAAGAAACTAAGCACTAATCACTACATTCATCGATATATTACTTATTACGCCTAATGACTAGGACAGCGGTACTCAACCACTGTGTCGCTACACATTAGTGTTCCACAAACCCTCATCAAGCGTGTTGGGAGACATATCTCTCTCTTCTCAGCTATTTCTGAAGTCGTCGTGGCCTAAAGGATAAGACGTCTGGTGCATTCGTGTTGAGCGATGCACCGGTGTTCGAATCCCAGGCGGGCACCAATTTTCCTAATGAAATACGTACTCAACAAATGTTCACGATTGACTTCCACGGTGAAGGAATAACATCGTGTTATAAAAATCAAACCCGCAAAATTTTAATTTGCGTTATCAATGGTGATAGAACCTCTTGTGAGTGCGCACGGGTAGGTACCGCCACCCTGCCTATTTCTGCCATGAAGCAGTAATGCGTTTTGGTTTGAACGATGGGACAGCCGTTGCAACTATACTGAGACCTTAGAATTTATATCTGAAGATGAGTGGCGCATTACGTCCAGTAACCATTTAACATCAGGTGGGCTGTGAGCTCGTCCATCCATCCAAGCAATAAAAAAAAAAATCCCACAGTGTGGTGGGGTCAGCTTTCCTTCTTTACTCCTCCACTTCGCTGTCTTCAACGTCCTCGTCAGTAACATTGCATTCCCTTTTGTCCTTCAGCACTACATCCTTCCACCTTGTCTTGGGTCTACCTCTAGGTCTCCGACCGGGGAGGTTGAGCAGATCACCAAATTTCCGACGTAATCAGGTGGCTTCCTTTTTGCGTGACCATACATACCGTTGTGAGATATACAAACACGATATTTTTAACTGTAGCGATCCGGGGGAAATGCATCTCTGGGGTACATATAATAACACGCTTGTTTACTAGAGACATAGAACTGTGCAGCTACGCTTAAGGGATTAATGATATATAATTTTAACGAATGTACCTATACTTAAAATATCTACTATCAAAAGTTTCGTGTAAATGTGGAAATGGGTCAGAGTACAGAGTATGTTACAGAGTACAGAGTATGTTAGCGCATCTCTAAGTAAAAAAGGTTGAGAACCACTGACCTATTTCTAGTTTTTTTTTTTTTAATAAAAGAATTGAAAAGGTGTCCACAACTAATCTGGCTGAAGTTAATATTACACAACAGCAATAAATTAGCAGTACACAATTTGCCTGATCGTAAATTCTGCTATAAAATGTGGAAATTGTGTTTCTACGTAACATTGTGTAATGCTGTAAATTATTTCGATCGAATCGAAGAGATGTTACGCACAGCGAGGAGAACGTTTGAGCAACCAAATTATAACGAAAGCTGTAAGTATCTTTTGGGTATTTTTAAATCTATAAAAACTATTTTTTTAGTAGTATGTGCTGTATATCTTATCTTATTCTTATAATATAATATATCTCTATATATAAAAATGAATTGCTGTTCGTTAGTCTCGCTAAAACTCGAGAGCGGCTGGACCGATTTGGCTAATTTTGGTCTTGAATTATTTGTGGAAGTCCAGAGAAGGTTTAAAAGGTAGATAAATATGAAAATGCTCGGAATTAAATAAAAATAACAATTTTCCGGACGGATTCCTTTTGTTTGTTTTAAGTTTATTTTATCCAAAAGCTTAAGTCTTTTATTTATCGATTGAGGCACTACAAAGTCTGCCGGGCTAGCTAGTTTAATACCTAGTCAGGTCATAAGTATTGTCACACAGTAAAAACTTTTCTTTTAGAATGCTGGCCACAAAAAAGTTTATGGAATTCGAATTTCGAATTGTTCATGAAGATAAAAATGTATACTTTTAGAATTTTACTCATTTTTAAATATGGAGTGGACGCTTAAAGAAGACCGTGTTGCAGTTATTGCGTTGCATCGTTGCGGTTACGCGCCAATTCAAATTTTTAACATACTGAAAATTTTGAATATAACCAAAAGATTCGTTTATCGTACCATCAAACGATACAATGAAGACTCTAGTGTAGAT